TAAAAATAAAAAATAATGTTAAATCGCTGCGCTGGCAGCGATTTGTAAGAAGAAACATTTTGAAATCGCTGCTTGAGCAGCGATTTTTTTTTGGCAAAATCGCTGCCTCAGCAGCGATTTTACTTTTTCAGTCGAAGTAAATCGCTGCGTCGGCAGCGATTTTACCGTTTTGGTTTATATAAAATTTTATATACCGTTTTGGAATTTTTGTTAATATTTTTTACCCTTTGAGTTTCGGACTCTAACTTATGTCAAGGCTTCGCCTATGAATTCCCACACTTGAGTTTGTTAAATTTGATCTTATGTCTGACTCACACACAAAAATTAGTTCAAGAGGAGGAGAATTGTCAAGCCTTATGAAAAGTTCACTACTACCGATTGGGGACTTCTGTCATTGTTCAACAAAGTCATGAATTCATATGAAAATAAGGTCTTAAAAAGGAAACAAAACTTGTGTGTTTCTTTTCTTTTGTATTTCACAAAAGATTATTTCAGGCGAGTAAAAGCAAGGTTATTATATAGATATCTCTTTAAATTCGCAAAACCATAGGTGCAACATGTTTTCACATACCAATAGCTACTCCATAAGTTCGATTTTATTTATATCTACGAACCATGATGAGGTTGAAGAGATTATGATCATGGACTTAACTCCATTGATGATCATCTACTCAAGCTTGAGAGCATATTGAGAGAAAGAAGAATGTATATTGTATTGATAGTGTATATGGTTAAAAAATGAATACAATGTGAACTTATATATACACTTGTACTTGGACTAACAACTCAACTAACTTCTAACTAACTATTGGAAACTAATTAACATGTAATTTGTAACTAACTATTTGATTTGCAGCTAACAAACCTAACAGAAAGTTAATGGTATTGATGTTATATTCTCATCACCCCCCCCCCTCAAGTTGGAGGTGATGTAAACACAGACAACTTGTGCAACAAAGAATTGTGTTTAACTCCAGTTAAGGCTTTGGTGAGGATGTCTGCCAACTGTGAGTCTGTGGATATGTGATGAAGTGTGATTAACCCTTGATGGAGCTTAGTCCTTACAAAATGGCAATCAATCTCAATATGTTTTGTTCTTTCA